TATTTTTTATTTTTAATTTTTTTTTTTCTTTTACTTTCTTGAAATATGACAAGATTCACGGCCATGGCTAGTGACACAAATCGTCTCAACTATGCAATCTGTGATTCTTCGTAGATCTTCTTCAACCCCTCCCATCTATCTTCTCGCTGCTTTACTACTTTTCTCCCCATCACTGCTTATATGTTCCCGGAAGCTTGAAATCAATCACCATCGCCGTGTTCACGGCGATGACTCCCCAACATACATTTGGCCGTTGCCCTGGAATTACAGTTTCGGCAACCTTACTCTCACTGTAGACCCAAATCTATCGCTCGTTACAGGTGGAAATGGAGGCGGCTCCCATATCGTTTCTGAAGCCTTTGACCGATACAGAAGTATCATATTCAAGCACGCTAGCTTTGAGCTGCCCGGCACTGTGATTGACTATGATCTTAACAAGCTCAGTATCATTGTTCACGCCGAAGATGAGCAGGTGACTTCGAATTTCAATAATCTGCCATTTACATTAGTTTCTCTTATTATTGTTGTTACCCCTTTTTTCTTTTACCTTCCTTCATTTGTTTTGGTATTTTGTAGCTTCAACTTGGGGCTGATGAGAGCTACACATTGACGGTTGATGCAAGCGAAGGCCATTCAGTAATTAACGGCATCAGGATAGAGGTGGATTGACTATTTATGATGCCCATAGCAAGATGCATTAGTGAATGTGTTTATCCTGTTCTTTATGTGGAAATCATTCTCAAATCTTGTCCTGCTTACCTTATTTGTGGAGCTAAATTGCAGACCGTCTTATGTATTACCCGTTTTTTCACTTGTTCCTCACATATCCTTATTTGCATTTAATCGAATTACAGTTACTTGGAGCTGGTCTGAACGATGTCGTGTTTTCATTAATAAGACTTGTGGAATTGTTTCTGAGTTTTCACATGTTCACTCATCTGGCTGAAGGAAATATCATGCTCCGTTATTGTTACATTTGCCTAAAGAAACTGAACAATTCATGTCTGTTTTGTTCCCCATTCATATTCCTGTCTGTAAGCTTTGTTATCATGATACCTTGCAGGCAAACTCTGTCTATGGAGCTTTGCGTGGACTAGAGGTAAACACAATCTACGTAATTCTGTGACAATTTGTTTTCAGGAAAAAAATTGCAAGATATGTGGAATTTGATGTGTGCCTGTGATTGTTTGTGCTTAGTTGCACCAGTTGACGAAGATAACAAACATATATAGAGAGATGAGGGAGAATTTAAATTTTTGTGGTTTTTTTTTTCTTTCCTTTTTTTATCTCGTCTGCAACATTTTGCACATTTTGATGACTCCAAAGAATAACATCTTTAATATTTTGTGATCCACTGATGCTTGTAGTAGTTTGATTTGGGGGATGTAATTTGTTATTTAATTGTTATTTGGTTATGTTTTTTCTGCAGACATTAAGCCAACTATGTACTTTTGATTATGGAACCAAAACTGTGAAACTGTATAATGCTCCATGGTATGTCCGGGATAAGCCGAGGTTTATTTATCGAGGGCTCTTGCTTGGTAGGTTGAATCCTTTTTTTCTGACATTCTATTCTCTTGTTATAATACTATACTTGGTTGCGTCAAAAGCGAATTTTATAGTGGTTTTCTGCAGATACTTCGAGGCACTATTTGCCAATAGAAGTAATCAAGCAAGTTATAGAATCTATGTCATATGCTAAACTTGTAAGTATGTTAAATTACCATATGGAGACCTTTCTACATTTTTCCTCATTTTCTTCTACCTATTTTTCGTTGTTGTTTGTTCTTTCTATTCATCTCTTGGATTTGAAGTAATGTGATGATTGCATCAGTAGAATGTCCTGCATTGGCACATTATAGATGAAGAATCATTTCCACTAGAAGTCCCTATGTATCCAAATTTGTGGAAGGGAGCTTACACAAAATGGGAGCGATATACCATTGACGATGCTTCTGACATTGTTCAGTAAGCTCATCTTATACTAATATTTCGTCATCCTCGAGGGTGTTTTGTAGTATAAGAATTTGGTGTAGTTTAGAATATATAAATACAATGTAGCCTTTCAATTTTAAAAATCATATCCTCAAACTTTTTTGGGGGAAGAAAAACGTATATTACAGTTTAAGTGTGTTAAAAGCAGAACCGTATATAACTTGAGTTGATAGGCAGGCAACATTTTCCCGTGAATCATGAAAAGATGTTGCATGCAAATTGTTCATGATATATCTCACATTTCTGCCCTATAATTATAGCTATTGAAGTCTAGGCTATATTTTTATTATCTTTAACATGATATATAGATTTTAGATAGGTTATATCAATAGCGTAACTTTATATATA